TATGCAAAGGAAAATGGGAATGGGGTCCCCAGACTGGGCCCGTACGACTCGCTCCCCAGCTTTCGCGACGTCCCGAATTCTGAGAAGCAGAACTTATTCCTTAAAAAGCTGAACATTTGCTGCGTTGTGTTTGATTTCACAGACCCCACCGCAAATCTCAAGGAAAAGGACATCAAGCGGCAGACCCTGGTCGAGCTCGTGGACTACGCAGCCTCAGCCAATGGGAAATTCACGGAGACCGCAATGCAAGAGATTGCGCGCATGGTGTCCGCAAACCTGTTTCGCACGTCTCATGCCCTTGCGCGTGAGAGCAGGGCCTTTGAGGCCTTCGACCTGGAGGAGGAGGAGCCGCTGATGGACCCCGCTTGGTCCCACCTGCAGGTCGTTTACGAGCTCCTTCTCCGGTTTGTGGCCTCCCCCGAGACGGATGCCAAGCTGGCGAAGCGGTATGTGGACCACTCGTTCGTGCTCCGGCTGCTCGACCTCTTCGACTCGGAGGACCCCAGGGAGCGGGACTACCTCAAGACCGTGCTTCACCGCATATATGGTAAGTTCATGGTCCATCGCCCCTACATCAGGAAAGCCATCAACAACATTTTCTACCGATTCATATTTGAGACGGAAAAGCACAATGGGATAGCCGAGCTCTTGGAGATCCTGGGGAGTATAATAAATGGATTTGCATTGCCCCTGAAGGAGGAACACAAGCTGTTTCTAGTACGGGCGCTTATCCCGCTCCACAAGCCTAAAAGCATACCAGCTTACCACCAGCAGCTCTCTTACTGTGTGACCCAGTTTGTGGAGAAAGACTGCAAGCTGGCAGATACTGTCATCAGGGGTCTGCTTAAGTATTGGCCGGTCACTAATAGTTCGAAGGAGGTGATGTTCCTGGGGGAGTTGGAGGAGGTATTGGAGGCGACCCAACCACCCGAGTTCCAGCGGTGCATGGTGCCTTTGTTCCGGAGGATCAGTCGATGCCTCAGCAGCTCGCATTTTCAGGTTGGGATGAAGGTTTCTCTCTGTTTTTTCGCCCCCCATTCATTTCCTGTTATCTTTTAAATTTTCTCTGTTCTATACTTGGTTAGAGTTTGAGATCTTATCTGGGAATAACTACAGAGAGTCAATGATATCTTAAGTTTTATCTTGTTGACAAAACAATCTGGTTTTCTTTTCAATGTACCACTTGCCACTCTAATTTTAGTTGTGTCTTACAAATTATAACTTCAAGAGGTTATCTGTTACGTAAAATGATAGCCTTGTGAGGGGTGTTGTGCTCAGTAATGAGTATTTTCAAGTTTGGAAAATCAACTTTAGTGTTTTGCAGTAAAGCTACAGCTACTCCTCAGGGATGTTTCTAAATATCTCTACTTCCTTTAAGTGTTTTCTCTTTTGTTTTTTCCCCCCTTAACATCAATTCTTTTCTAATCTTGTGTGTTCTTCTTGTACACAGTTATGAAATTTAGCACATCTTCACAAGGAATCTTTATTTCGCTGTTAGTTTCCGTACATTGTGTGTTATATTTTAATTTCTTCATTTACTTTTGGCTTCCTCCCAATTTTCTTTTCCATCATTTCTTTTATTATTTGTTTACATTTGGCCATATGGCCATCTCATCTGGATACATGGAGCTAATGAGAGCCTTCTTTGTCGCCGTTCTTAATATGTTGAAGTTCTATGATGTAGGCATGTCAAATATTTGTGGCTTCATAATTGATTGATTGCATTCTAGTAGGTCTTGACGTAAGAGTTAAAAACTTGCAGCAACTTCAATTTCTTTGTTTTCGAAGAAAGAGACAAAAAGCTCTTGTCTTTTCTGTGTTCTGGATAGAAACATTTGACCGCCATTCAAAATGATTGCGTCGCTTTACCAAGTCTATTTAATTATACTCTGGCTGCAATCCACCAATTTTACTACAGAGATTGCTTTGCTTGTACAATCATGTTTCCAGAATTTTGTTCTCCTTGCACTGGCCAGGTGGCCAAGTCAATTGACTCGTGACCCATTTCTTCTGTGGTTGGCCCGTTCTTATTTGTTTTTTAACTTTATGACTGTATCTTGTTGCTTACCACATGGGATTTTGCTAATATAATATTCTGATAAGGATACTTATGAATGGAAAAATATTTTCGTGAGATGAGCAAGTTACTACTTTCTTATCAGGCAGTATGTCACAACACTGTAATAAAGTTGTAATATTTGCATGTGTCCCTTTTCTGCTTTGTTTATGTGAGCTGAAGATCTCTCATGATTATTAGGAAACAAGATATTCACAGTGAACTTGTTGTAAACTTCAGTTCTTATTTTTGAATATTTATCTAATGATTTGGCCTTTTGAGTTAACTTTAGTTGAAAGCCTAAAAAATGCGGCTGTTAAGGCGGCAAAATCTTCTAGTTTTAGTAAAAGTGCTTATCTATCCATATCAATTAGAAAAAAAAAAAGAGTGTTTATTGAGTTCCTTTTACAGGTGGCAGAGAGGGCCCTCTTCTTATGGAACAACGACCACATCGAGAACCTCATCAAACAAAACCGTAAGGTCATACTCCCAATCATCTTCCCCTCACTAGAGAAAAACGCACAGGCCCACTGGAATCAGGCCGTCCAGAGTCTGACCCTTAATGTCCGCAAGATATTCTCCGACGTGGACCCTGACCTATTACAAGACTGCCTACTCAAATTTCAAGAAGATGAAGCCCAAGAACAGGAAATCAAGGCCAAACGAGACTCCACCTGGAAACACCTCGAGGAAATAGCCACGGCCAAAGCTGCCAGCAATGAGCCAGTTCTTGTGCCCTTAAGGACGAGTACTAAAGTGCCATCTGGGTAAAAAGAATTCGATGCTCAACGTTTATTTATTGATTTTTATTCTGTGGTCTCGACTGATTGGTGATCTGTTATTGACTGATCGTTCTTTTGGGTCGCACACGAATCAGTGAGGGTGAGACATGTATGGCCAAAAAAAGGTAAAAAAATACGATTAAAAAAAAAAAAGAAAAAGAAAAGGGGAGCAGATGGAAAATATATTTTGCTGTCCAGAAAATGGGGAATGAGTGTACATATGAAATTTGGATGTAGTGTCTTTAACTGTATGTGATATTTATTGGCATATTTTTTTTTTTTTTTTTTTTTTTTCACATTTAGAATTTGAGGTTAAGTTTAAGGGTTGTGCTTTTATTGTTCATTTTTTTGATTTTGTTTTGTTCTGTTTTCTATGTTGTAGAATTTTTTGAAGTGGATTTTGATTCATGTATTCTCTCATCTGCAATTATATATAAATATGTAGCATTACGGTGTCATGAATGCTTGTTCTATTTTGTACTTTAGGTTATTTTATTTATTTGTTTTCTTATTTCTCCTCATTGTAAAAGTGGATGGCATACTGATTAAAACTTGTGATAGCTTTCACCTTATGTGGAAATTATTATTGAAGGATGCAATTGTGCAATACTACTCATGTTCTTTGTGCAAGTATTTTTCTTTGATTTATTTAGTTTTGATAAAGACCCACCTCCTTATATAATTGATGCTAAAGGATAGCATAATTGTAGAATAACCATACCTTTTTAATGAATATGCATATTTGTTTATTTATAATAAATTGTAAAATTTTTATATATCTATCAAAATTTATAAAGAGACAATCTATTTATCAAAAATAGTAACAAGAAAAATCAACCAGCATTTGTTGCATTCTACTTTTGGTAGTTTTTATTTTATTTCTTAAATTATCTATAAAAAACTAATCAGTTATATATGCATCCTAAATTCATGGGTTTTGTGGATTTGATTTAGGTAAATTTCGACTGATGCTTACAATTTTGCAAAAGTCAAATTTTTTTCTCACTTTATATTTATAAAAAAAATGATTACCATAGAATCTGGAATTTCGAATTAGGCGAAATACTATCACATGTATCTTTTACTAATTGCAACATATTAATTGTTTATTGAAAAAATCGGATTGCATAGAATTCGAATTAAATTATGTAAAATTTGGCATGACAATTTTGTAAAAGTTAAAAAAAATTCTCTCATTTTTTATATTAAAAAATTTGTTCACCATAAAATCGAGAATTCCGAATTAGGCAAATTACTAAAACATGTATGTTTACCTAATTGCAACAGATCATGTTTATTAAATAAATCAGATTGTATAGACATCGGGCCCATTTTCAAATTGAAAATAAAAATTTAAAAATCCCTTATCTTTTGGTTGTTACTTTCTTTAGTTTGGATTTTTTTAAAACATAAAATAGAGTCAGATAATATTAATTTTCAATTCAAAATGAAATGTGAATATCTTCATAATAAAAGGCCTTTGGCGATAAAAAACCTCGGCGACAAACCCTTGGCGACAACCTCCTCTCTCCGGCAGGTTTGCCTTCCTCGGTGACGATTAAGCTCGGTCAGCGGTCGTTGATGACTGTCCCGGTCTCCATTGACGATGTGTGCCTCTGACTCTCGGTAGATGAGCCTCGATTGGGATTCAATATGATCCTTGTCGGTGAAGCAGGCTCTCGGTTGTGGGCAGGGATTGAATGGGTGGAGTCCTTCTCGGTCGGATCTTGGTGGTGGAGGCTCTATGCTGCCGGCGCTACTTCGATTAGTGATGGTAAGTCCCTCTTCTCTCTCTAGTTCACGATTGTTGGGATGTCTCCGGCGGAGTTTTAGCTTCCTGACGGGATCGAATCTTTGGTCGGGGGGGCTGTGGAGATGTCGTGCGGTGTGTGGGTCTTTGTGTGGTTGGGACTCCGGTGGCTGCGGCGTTTTAGTCGCGGTGGTCGGGGTGAGGGCCGTATTCTCTCGCACAATCCTTCGTTGGTCTAGTGGTGTTAGTCAGCGGGGGAGGTTCTATCGGTCTCGTCTAGTGGTGTTAGAAGAGTTCGGGTGGAATCAGTGTGGGACGGACTATGGCGCTCTCGGTTTTGATGGGTCGATTTGGGGACTTGTTCAGAGCTATGATCCTGCTATTGTATAGGCTTGATTGCAGTTTCGGTAGCTGGTTCATGGCCTGGATTTGTCTTGTGTCGATCGTTCACTGCTGGTCCGAGCTTGCTCGTTTCGCTGGGGAAGGGTTGTTTTTATGTTTTTAGTTTTTTTGCTTGTTTGTGTCTGTTTTGTTTTTGTATTTTTGTGTTTGTATTATTTTTGGTCTTGTTTTTTAGGTTTGGGCCATTGGCCCCAGTACTGATTCCCCTGTGGGGGGCGTTTCTATTCTCTTGTGGGGAGCGACCGTAGTTGGTGTGTTAGTGTCTTTTAGTTGTGTGTTGTGTGTTTTCTATTCTAGCGTGGCTAGCGAGGCTCTAGGCGGTCTTTTGATCCGTCCTCTCAGTTTCTAGTTCCGGGTTGTAATATTTAGCCTTGGGCTGCTTTTGCACAGTTGTGCATTTTGATATATAATATCTCTATCGTTTCGAAAAAAAAAAAAATGAAATGTGAATGAAACATCCTAAAAATTTGAATTTTGTTTAATCCTCTAGAATACAAATTTGAAATTGATTGTATACACTTACAAATGTCATATATATTCTACTAAATAATTAATTGATTTATTTAAGCATATCTCGAATCCTAATATAATTTGTGGTGATAGTCGATGTACCAAAAGACCAAACAAATAATGTTGTGTACAAGGATGTGTTTAATAATATATAAGTTACATTTTGTTTATTCTAATACACGCGTTTTACGTTCTTTCAATCATCCAAATCTAAGTGTTTGCCTTAATAAAATTAGCATGTGCATCGCACGAGTACCGCACTAGTTTTATATATAGTATGATAGTTTAATAAAAGTTTATATATTTGTTGAAAAAATATGTTACTACCTCCTATTTTTAATATATGTCGTTTTGAAAAGTTGCACATTAATTAATAATAGTTTTTGTCAATAATAACCTTATTTAATGAATGTAAAGATGAATCTTTTGAGAAAAAATGATGAGTGAATATAAAAAGACGTAATGCATTTATTAGCTAAATGAGTGTAATAATGGAAAAATATGTATAAAAGATCCAAAACGACATTTATTTGGTTAATAGTTTATAAAGCCAAATTGACATTTAAAAAAAAAAATAGGAGGGAGTATTAATTAAGGAGCATTAATGACCTGCCTAAGAAGATATTTTCGACAACAAGAATGTACTCCCTCCTATTTTTTTAAATGTCATTCTAGTTTTATCAACTATTTGCCAAATAAATGTCGTTGTGGATCTTTTGTACATATTTTTCCATTATTACCCTTATTTAGTCAATAAATACATTACATCTTTTCATATTCACTCTTTACTTTTTCTCAAAACATTTATCTCTATCTTCATTAAATAAAGTTATTATTGACAAAAAAAATATTCTTAATTAGTGTGCAACTTCTCAAAACGACATATATTAAAAATAGGAGGTAGTATTATTTATTTCCTCAGCAATTATTAGTTGCCGGTCAACAAATTTGGTATTTTCTTTGTGTTTTCAGTACAAAGTAAATGAACATTATTAGTTAAAATTCTTCTTTTTTCAAAACGGTAGAAATCTGATAACATAAAAACGAAGAGCAAGAACAAGTACAACAAGCACACACCCGAGATGGCCGCGAGGCCTGAGAGCAACACTACGACAGTGTGCTAAAGCAACAAGAAACTAAACATGGGATTGGAAGCTAGCAACAAGCTAGAGAACTTCAATCCCAACCAACACAAGACTAACCAAAGCAAAACACCACAACAAGAAAAACACAGGAAAACAACCAGGGCAAAACAGACTGCCCCAAAAAACTGCCAACCAAAACTAACTACCAACTAAAAAAAGCAAGGCAAGACAAGAAACTAACACAGACCATGGGAAAAATTAAAAGAAAAAACACCTACTAAGAGAACTAGAACCAAACTCAGAGACTTCAAACTTGAGACACAACACTGAATCCAACCATTCTTGCAAAGCTTTTTTCACCACCATCTGCACAGGCATTTTTTCCCCGTTAAAGAGCCACAAGTTTCTAGATCTCCAGAGCCACCAGTGGATATAGATGGACAACTGGATTCTAGCCTCAGAGATGTCTGACTTGCTGATGGAGCAGACTTCCTACCACCAGTTCTTGAAGGTTGTTTGTCTAGTGGGAATTCCATCCCAGAAAAGGGGGGACATCTTCCAAGCAGCCTGGGCTCTTTTATAGGTAAGGAGCAAGTGATCAATAGTTTCTTCATCTTCCCCATAGAGAGAGCAGATGGGATCAATATCAATGCCTTTCTTCCAGAGGTTGGCCCAGCAGGCAGAGTGTTGGTAAAGCATTTCCATATGAAATGCTTTATTTTTCCTTTGATTTTGAGTTTCCAGCTCCTGTTCCTGATTTGAATGTCAGAATGGCTGCTCTTGCTTCCTTCTGCTATATCCAGGTGTCTGAGTTTAATGTTCATAAGGTGTGCATAAGAATCTGCCACAGAGAAGGCACCTTTGCCATCCAGCCTCCATCTCCATCTGTCTTCAAGGTCCAGGGCAAGAGAGTGAATATCCAAAATAGCTTGAGCTTCTGATTGAGAGAACATTTGTGATATTAGCTATGCATTCCATTGTCTGCCATTCTCTAGGATTATACCTCTGACATAGAGAATGTCTGCATTGATCATCTTACTGGGGGCAGCAAGGCCAAGTTTGGGAACCCAGCCAACATCACTGATCATGGTCTTTTGTCCATCTCTAACTTCCTTCCAAATTCCTTGCTTGAAGACTGCAACATGTTAAGCCAGTTGTTCCATAACCAAGATCCAGAGTTTTCTTTTGGGCTTAAAAAATGGAGGAGTTTGGGAAATATCTGCTTTTGAGGATTTGGCTAAC